TCTTGTGATCTTGATTTTGTTGTTCGATTTAATAACGATTAATAATAACAATTAATTTTTGATTTCTTTTTCTTAGGCTCAATAATTTTATTCTTAAACTATGGTTTTTTTTGGTGAAATTTTTTTTATTTGTAGCAGGTTGCGATATCACAGGTTACAAGAATCAGCACATATAGGTTTTTTTTTTTTTTTTTTTTTACTATATTAATTGGTTCTTTTTTTTACTTATAATCATTGGCTTTCTTTTTACTAATGAGTTCTTTTTTTAGTGCCACCTTTACTGTAGTCGTCGGTTTTGTGGCTGCTTGAGTCGTCGCTACTGATGTTGCCATTCGTTGGGGTCACGTTATTGGAGCCGTCATTGTCGTAATTTTTTGGTGCCTTCGCTGGTGTACTTTTATTGTTGTCTTGCAAATTTCAGACTTTCGTCGCTTCAATGTTTTCGTTTACGAAAATTCGGGTTTCAATGTTGCTGGGTTTCGGTGGCGTCATCTCTGATTGGGCAAAGTATATTACTCCACTTTCCGTCTTTCAATTAATTACAAAATCTAAAAAAAATTATGAAATTCCTTTCAGAATTTTAGCAGTATCTCTTGTTTGATCTTAGTACAAATAATGTTTGGTCGTTTTTTTTTTTTTTTGACCGTGATACGTATCAGATAGAATTTCGAAATCCTGATGTTTACATTTATGTAAATTATAGAAGTCTATAATTTTATTTTGACAAGAATTCATATTTAGTTGATCCTAGTGACATAATTTCATTTTACAAAAGTCGATTATATTATTTATACATTATGAAAATGACTATTGTGAAATAAGATCTGTCGATTTATTGCGTCAAATAATATTTTTCTTTCAAGAAATTCTTTAAATTTGCTTTTAAATGGAAGAATATTCTTCTTGGAACGACATATTAAAAATCTTTGCAAAATATATTCACATTAAAGATATTAATGTTAAATGGACACACAGTTTCTGATGATCACATGGCTGAAGTGGCTATGTCGAAATAATATCGATATTTTATTTTATCGTTAATATCGATATACCTTTAATATCTTGTCACGTGAATATATATAGGGCATGCCCAAATTTTTCCCCGTGCCCCAACCAATTATGTAAGATCAGGAGATGAATTTCTGCCTATCTTCGTAAAAAATATACATATAAGGTCATACAAAAATTGATTTCTTAGTCTTCATAACATGAAACCTCCAAGTAAACCCGACCGGCCGTCTTGGGTTATGAAAACTAATTAATTAATTTTGCACGACCCAAATCATATGACATTTTAAAATGCAATTTATTTATTATCTCCATTAAGTTAGCTGTTGATCATGTTTTTTATTTGGATGAAACTGAATAATAAAAAACCTCGTTTAGTGTTTTTTTAGTTTTTATAACTTAAAAGTATCACAAATTCATTAACATGATTCAGGTATTACGCACATTAAATATCAAATTTAATGATGTAAATGTGTATAATGTATACATGTATATATAATACTAATAAAGACAAGATTGTTTTTTTTTTTTTCACTTTTATAAATTATTATTATATATATATATATATATATTAATATACACTTTGATGGCAATTATGTAAATCTTAGACTCTCAGGTAATGAATGAATTGTCTTTTATAACATAATATATATTATGCTATCCTCCCGAATATACGTCATTGCTCTAAGATTCACAGAAATTGTTCATGAAAAAAAAAACTAGATAATTCTAATCTATATTTTCTAATAAATATGCCATAATGTTCACCAATATATAATATAATTAAAGTCCATTCTGTCGAAATTTACTTTTTAACCTTAGTTCGAATAACTGGTATCATTCCGCTTTTAGTTGGTTTGGTATGCTTTCCGTTAACAGCAGGTGTACCCACCGTTAATGTGTTATCATTAATACTGGATGATGTATAACTTGTTGATTCGTCCACATTTACTTTGGTTTTTGCGACCATTTTCTCTTCAACCATTTTTACTAATAGGTCAGAATATTTTTCTAAAAGATTTTGCGTGTTGGATCCTATATCCTTTTCATCACGATATGTATCATGTCCAGGTTCAACAATTTCCGGAACATTGATCCGGCTTTTTGTAGACTCGGCTACATGATTATTTGTTGGTTCTTCATATACTTCAAGACTCTTATGTATATCATCCATCATCCCATTCAAGCTTTCAGAAATCAATTTTGCCATACTTTCGTTTTTTGAGGAAGGCGAAGATACTTTTTTGTATGCTAAAAGAGTTCGTTCTAAAAGTACTGTCATAGTTAGCACATCTTCCATAATGCTATCTTCATTAATTTCATCTATACTTGGTCGGTTGGTTACTATTTGTAATAAATTCATCAAAAATTAGTATTGTACAATAAATTTTTGAAATGAAATACAAAAATATACGTATTATTTTAACCGGTTACCATTAGCATCAAGTTCGTTATCATTGTTATTTTGGCATCCTTTAGAAATCGAAATGCCAAGACCGTCAGCCTTTAAATCACTATCATTGACAAATGATTCGTTGTCATCTCCATCTTGGTTATCGATAGATAGTGGAATATTCTCATTTTTAATTTCATCCTTATTTTTATGATTAATAAAGCGTTTTAAGTTCATATCATCGGCAGTTTCTTCAGTTGGCGTAGCTGGGGATGATGGTGTTGAATAAATTATCGATGGTCTTTTATCGGATTCTTGCCCAAGATTAGGATCATCCTTAACGTGGGATTCATTTTCATAATTCTCAATCTCTTTGGACTTTTTTTCCAAAGCTTCTAAAGCTCCCACAATGCCACTCTCATCCTCTCTTATGACTAATTCTTGATTACCTATAATTTTGGTCAGTGCATCGATCAAACTATTTTGGCCACTTGAATCATTGGAATTTCGTTGACTTCCCGTATAGAATTTCATGGTCAAGCTTTGCCTCTTTTTTGCATTATTGTCCAAAGTCGAATTGCCTTCATTTTCTACACTGGCATGCCCATTTTCATTTGTTACGTGATTCGTGTCAATATGTAAGAAATCTTCTAATTTTTGACCATTTTCTTCTGCACTCTCTGTATCCTCCTCCTCGTCATTTTCTTCATTGTCATTTTCCAAGGCACTAGAATCAACATCATTATCTTTTTCACTTCCAGATGATGACTTTGGACGATCACCACCAAATTCCACAATTTTAATACTTCCATTAAAACTACTCCGACGTTTCTTAGATGATATATTTCCATTATCATCCGCCCCTTCCAATTCATCTGGAGATTCGACGTATATAGTTTCATTGTCTTCATTACAAGAATCATCTGCAATGATTTCTTCCTCCGCAGGTGAAAATATATCATCATCGTCATCATCATCATCATCGAATACTAATGTAGGAATATTTGTTGGCTGGGTCAATGAGAATGCTTCATTAGATGATGTACGATCATCTACAGGTTTTGATTCTTTTTTTTCAGGTTCTATACCCAATAATGATTTTGTTGCATCCTGACGTAATTTGCTTTGCGATTTGCTCCTGTTTAAAGGCTTTGGAATTGCTGGTAGCTTCTTTTCCGCATTAAGTGAGCTACTATTATCCTGTACTTGGCTAGTGGAAAATGTAACAGTAGGTATATTAGTGTTGTTGCTATTTGAAGCATTATCTTTGAGACGTTTTTCTTCTTCCTTTTCTTTGAAAGCCTTTTTTGCCCAACTAGGTAGACCAATCTTCCAAGATTCTCTCCTTGCTGAATTTGAAGGAGTTGGGGTGTTTGGTGGTGTAGATAACCCCATCGGATTACTAGGTGACGATGATGTAGCCGTAGGCAGCTTACTTTGATCTAACGATAATCTAGTCGCTGTGGCTGATTGAGTAGATTTCGACTGTGATGATCCATCATTAGCAAATGATACAGGTCTTTTAACGACAAATTTTTTCGCGTTGTCTTCATTTTGATGCTCCATTGCAGAGAGTGATGAATAAGATTTCTTGATTTTTAGATTATTTGTTGCTCGGCGAACAGAAAAACCTAATTCTTGCCCACTACCATCATCATTTGATGATTGTTGAAGATCCACCATAAGTGATTGTGATTTTTGTGCTGGCATAATAGTTCTAGGTTGAATTGGTGGTGGTGTTGACGATTGTGATGAAGGATAATCTCTCATAATAGGTGATGTCTTTTCAAGCAGGCCACTAACTCCACTTCTATCCAACCATTTTTGTCGCATTTTTGAAACCAATTCATCCGATATTTTCCACACAAATATACAGCCATCCGCAGAGGTTGAAATAACGCGTTCACAGTCAGAAGTAAACTTTACTCCAGTAATTAATTCTGAATGGCCAAGTACTTTGCCCAATATCGAACCATTAGTGAAATCAAAAAGTCGAATACTTTTATCTGACCCACCAGTTACAGCATGTACGCCGCCAGGGTCTAAAGAAATTCTGAGTAAGCTTCCTTGATCTGCAGTATTGACTTCTTCGGGTGTATCTGATTTGTATGAACGCACATTTTTACCCGTATCAATATGATAAACGTTTAGTCTACGCTCTCCTGATACTGTGGCTATGTACCGATTTGATATATCAATGTCCATATCAAATACGGTTGCTCTTCCAGAAATATTATGGTATGGCACATAACATGGGGAATCACCCGACTAAATAAAAAAATTTTGATGAATGATAAAATTTTTAATTTGTAATCCGCCCTCGTTAATATCAATTGTATAAGTTTCTCTGGTATCAACACTCTTATTTTAACATTATCTTTATAATAAATTTCTCTATACAATTTTTCGAATTCTAATCCTCCTTTATTATTCATTCCCTTATATATAAATCAAATGATCTGATCCAATTTGGTTGATATCAACGAGAATAGCGTATTAACTAAAAAAAAGTCTAGTTTAAACCTACATTTTGTCGACTTCTGAATATGATACTCTTATCTGCACCACAACTGATCAACTTTCCACCATCATTAGTGAACTTTATGGCAGTTATAGATGAAGAATGGTCGTCCAAAGTTTGAACCAATTGAAAATTATTATTAACATCAAAAACGTGTAAGATTCTGTCACGACTTGCAGTAGCAATTAAGTTTGGCGCGCCTAAAAATATATATATATTATATACGTTAATAAAATAAATAAATTAAATTAAATTAAAAAATAATGCAACAATGTATAGGCATTTAATAAAGAGCTAACAGCGATATCATTTAAATTATCGTCTATAGGATTTGATAAAGCTAATAAAGATGCCGCTCATATTAAATTGCATCCATACTCACCAGGCATTCGTTTGTCAGTAAATTCAATTGTCAAGATCTCTGCATCATGTGCTTCCTGATATGTAATCTCTTTAAAAGTATCAAGATCATGTATCCTAAATAAAACGGATAAAGTTATTTAGCATGTTTCAACAGGAAAGCGCTTATTATTCATATTTAAAAAACACCTTAAATTTCCACCACGATCTCCAGATGCCATCAGTTTTCCATCAGGACTGACTTTTAGAGTACGGATTCCTGATTCCACGAGCGTAGAAGAACTAAGCTGTTCTGTGGAATCTGTTATACAGAATATATAATTAACAGGATAAAAATATTTTTACGATGATTCTTTAGACTTTTGAAATGCCCACCAGATTTATCATTTTTTGTTTCCAAAGCGCTTGAGCGATATTTTCCGTCTGGATCCACATAAATAATCTTCATACATTCTTTGCTATAAATGTTTCTTTTTAAAGTGGTGTTGTTACTTCCTGCAGAAGCAACGCTTGAACCAGTCGTGTTAACAGATCCGTCAAAATTCCAAAATCTGATAGTACTATCAGCGGAATAAGTGATGAAAGTATTTTCTGGAAACGGAGACGCGTCATCCGCAGTATCGCGAGGTGGTATCATCTAAAGATGGTATGTCTTAAATAAGACATATAAAAAGCCATTACAATAAGAAGATATATTATAATGTCATTTACCTCTACACCCCAAATAGTATCACAATGGTATAGAAAGCTTCTATATTTTCCAATTTTTTTTATGTCTTTTATATCCCATATAAAAAGACTACGATCACTATATATACATGTAAGTTTTCCTGCTTCCGCATCAAATTTTATAGCTGTTGTATCCGGATATGTTTCATTCGGATCGCCAGTTCCATGATATGTTGATCCTGTCTGTAGGGTTAAATCCACACCCAAAGGATGTGGTTTTGGTAAAGTACCCAGATAATTTAGTGTTATTGGTTCAAATAACCTAAAAGAGTTAATTAGTATTACATATTAAAGAATATATAAGGTATCTGTAATCAAATACTTACCTGACAATTCCGTTTGAACAGGCACATATGATATATTGTTGGCTCACATCGATAGAATAGGCGCTTTTGACCTGCAATATCATAATGAAAAAGACATTTACGAAAAATAAGATATCAGTGTGAGTACTAAGCATTATTAAGAATATATATATTAACATTATTTTTTAAATGTTAAAGGTTACAAACCTGCAAATTAACCCATTTGTCCATTAATCTACCTTCTGTGAACATACATAACAATCCATTTGAAGTTACAAAATAAGTGTGATCTGATTTCTGACAACATGCAGCGTCGAGAAAATTGTTATCTCTTAAATCGCCCAGAATACCAGATCGCCCATCAAGTACTTGCGCAGTTTTTTGTATTGATTGTCCCTGAATTGACAATTTTTAAAAGAAAAATTTTAAGATAACGTACAACTTTATGTTTAAATAAAGATGAGTAAACCTACCGCAGCTTTTTTTGGTAAATTTCCATTAGAATCAAAATACCAGAATTTCACATGTCTCAAGCCAGCCGTTACAAAAAAAGAACCAGTCCTATTAAATGCTAAAGTGTGGACCTTGGTAGTGATTTTGTTACACGCGACTTTTGCTCCAGTTTTCAAATTCCAAACATTTAGATAACCGTCATGCTAATAATAACGATAGTAAAGTAAAATATGTTTAAAAAAAAAATTATAATAATTTTAACAAATAAAATCATGTGAAACAAAAAGAACACACTTAAGATAATTAACTCACTTGAAAACCCAAAGAGACAATCCATTTCATATTTGGAGAAAATTCTAATGCCAATACACCATATTTATGACCTTTAAGTTCGTTAACTAGAGTCTTTGTTGACACATCCCATATTAATATACGAGGCTGATGACCAGTCTGTTTTTATTATAATAATAATAATAATAATAATAAATTAAAATATAAAGATATTAAATTAAGCATTTTAACTTATAAATTAGGCTTTTATAAGATATTTACCTCTCCGACAGCTAAGTAATTACCATCAGGAGAAAAGGCAAGGCACGATATTGGCTTTGCCTTATTGCTCACTGCAGGCTTCTTAGAAGAAGCATTTCCACCTGCGTTCGTGCCCGGTGGCTCTAATAACCCCAAAGCACTCAGAGGATTCATCATAGGATCTCCAACAATAGTATGCCGATTATTAGGAAAAGCGGCAGAATTTGCAGGGTTTGGAGATGGAGCAGAAGTCACTGCCGACGATGCGTGTAAAAAGCCAACTTGTTTGTTTTTCTTGTGATTATACAATACAACGACAGAGCCGGCCGCATAAGCTATAAGATCATGTGTAGGTGCTGTTGATATTGCTGTTGATTTTGAAGCTGTTAACCCAAGTATGCGCTCAAGTTCAATCTAAATTAAAAGGAAAATATAATAGTCAATAATCTCATCTGCAATTCTGTATTGTATGCGCAATTAGTTGACAATAGATAATATATATCTAATAATTATTTTACACCTATAGAACTCTGCATTCGTTCTCTCAAAGGTCCTATCTAGTTCATATTTGCTACTGTTTTTAACAATTTTAAATAATATTTGCACATACAAACGCATAAACGCAATTATGCATAACCAAAGGGAACAAGCAACGTAATTGTATTTAACGAATTATTAAATGAAGATACTTGATAAAATTTGATAAAATTTAAATAATACTAACGGCAGGTGTTACATTTTCGCCTTTCCTTTTTCGGCGGAGCCCACCACTTTTTGATGGATAAATAGCAACAGTAGTGGGCCTTGAAGATCTTGGAGCAAACATTATTTACAAGTTCCTTATTATTTCGTTTCAGAATTTAATTATTAAAAGCTCGAGCAATGCTCTGTCACGGTGAGATTTTAATTCACACTTAATATATCAATTATTGACATGTGATATATTCCCTCCTGTTATTTGCGAGGATAAACTGATAGTCGTAAGACGGCTTTATTTCAATTGAGAGTTTTGTCAAGATTATCACTTGCTAATTATAAGTATTCAAAATTCAAATCAGAATTCAACCGAAAAAAATATTCATAATTGCTACTTAACAGAATGTTAAAAAGGAAATTATTTCAACTTACTTCGTATATCTTTTAATAACGGAATAAATAAAAGCACGCGACGCGCCAATTGTTTGAAAAAAAGTATCGTTCGTAATATGTGAAACAACGGTTGAAACAACAGTTGACTTGAATTAGGAAATAAACAAAACTAACCTTAAACTGGACAAACAGAAGGCTAACCTCAAATAGCACGTTAAAATGAAAAAAAAAAAATCACAAGAACCAAAGTCCAACGCCGAGAAAGTTGGAATCAGGAAACAACGAGAAAAAGAGTAAATATAGGAAAAAAAAAAAAAGTTAAAAGAGTGACGATATAAAACTGGCGTTCGACTTTATGTATTATTCTGTATTTGTACAGGAATAGGAACTCGTCAAGTCTTGAAATGGGAAGAATTTCACTTACAGTAACAGTAAAGGATTGTTATATAAAAGGTGGCTGGAGATCTTTCTGATCTCTTTTGGGTTTAAAAAAAAAAGTACGTACATCATGCGTACATCTGTAGACGCTGTGTCACTTAATTTTAGATGCCTCACAGTCTTACGAAATGGAACAATAGCGACAACAAGCTTTAAATAAAATATACAGCATTGCAACCCATGCGTATAACACAATTCATTGCGAGAGCAATTTTTATAATAATCGGACCAAAATTTTCAAGTTTAGGAATGCAAGATACGTACAACCTTCAAGGGCTTTATCCTTGCTCCAATCTTTGCTGAACTAACATATTAAAAAATTTATATTTGTTTTGTACACAAATAATTTAAAAACATTGTTTTAAATATTTGTTACTGTTTAGTATTATAAAACCTTATTTATTGCATAAAATCCCTGTGTCGAAAATCAACTGATATTCGTCGGTCTGTCGTGACTTATTTAAATTTATGTAAATACCAGTTGTGGGCTAGGTCAAGTTGCACAATAAATTTCTCGTTTTTTAATGATTAAACCAATTGTCAATGAGCAATAAATAAAAATATATAACAAATAAATTACCAATGATGCCTAATGATGTGAATTTTTTAAATCTATTAACGTTAACTATTAAAAATTAAAGAGCGATTTCTTTTTATTAAGATAGATTCATGTGTCAAAGGTATCATAATACATGAATATAATTATATATGGTGACTTCACATTACCACTACCTTATCAGTTTATTAATGTAGATAGAGTTGTATTTAGGATAGGTATAAAAGGTTTATAGCGACAAAAAGAATACGTACGTACGTACATACTTGATACTGTACCTGGTACGGATGTATCAATTTGATAGGGTTTTGGGCTTCAAGATTCGATGTGTAGATATTTTCACATGCGTTTCGTATTTTGCATATTATTTCGTTTCAAATATATATGAGAATCTTAAATTAGGCATATCATACTGTATATTTTCTTATTAAATATAAATGTTGGATAGATTATTGGATTATAATTTTAAAGTTTTTATACTGTATATTGCATTTAATTTGATTGGCTAATCTTGAAAATTATCCAATTAGATTACAGATTACAATATTAGATATAATTTAAACTTTTATTAATATATATAGTTGATTTGTATAACTACGTATACAAAACTATACGACTATATATCAGATATACTGTATATATATATATATAGTATATACTGTATATAGTACTTTTAAAAATAATATATATAATTTTTTTTTTTTTTTTTTTTTATATTAAAGGTGAGGTCTTGCTCGTATCTTTATTTAATAATTTATATAAGTGATTA